CACTTCCAGGGACAATGCCAGATGCAAAGGAGGCTATCTATGCAAATTATAGTGAAAAGTTGAGCAATAATCTGGTGCATTTGATCATTACACGCAACCAGTCTAAATAATTCAGATGCAGAGAGTGTAAAGTTATTTTCATTGGCCAGAGCAATGCAGCGAATTGCTTCAGCTCCTTCACTTGATCTGTGTGATTTTGGACTTAGCTTAAGTGATTAATTTAATAAGAAAATTCACAAGAGACTGATGTATGAACCCAAATGCCAATTTAGAAATTTACAATGGGAGCCACAGTTCATGCCAGTAGATTCTCTCTTGGTATGAAGATCTGTCTATGAAACCAATGCTATATTCAGAAGGTTTGCTTATGGTGGTATCCTGAGCAAGGACAACTAGTTGTTTTAATCAATAATGGTCTCAGCTATGGAATAAGACTGCCTAATGATCCAAGACTTGAACCCAGAAAACATGACCACAGAGCTACCTAACCATTATAGCATGTTTTCTGGAATATTTTTTATTAGTTTTAGTCTTGCTTCCAGAATTCTATTGTATGCACCTTATTTGACTTCAATGTTTACTAAACCTGCCTCCAAGATTTGCACATATTTACAAAATTCTGAATCATGTCTTCCGATGGCAACCCCATTCATTGGGATTTTTCCTTGTTTTAATTCTCAGGCATTAAGATGGTTTGTGAGTTCTAAGGGTCCTTCACTTTGGGCCCAGGCACTAAGAACAGATGGCATGAGGGTTTCAGAGCCCAGTCAATAAAGACTATAGAAGATCAGTAGAGAGAGGAATCATTGTGGGCTTGGATATAGAAGAGTGGGGACATGACCTGAACCTTCAAAACTGGCATTGTGAAATACAGGAGGAGAGCTCTGGAGACTCTGACTAAATCCATTTGCCTAGGTGAAAAGTTACCACTGCAGAGAAATTTAGGTAAAGTTGGAAATGCATGTTGGGACCAGATTCTTTTTGTTTGTTTGTTTGTTTAAAGATTGGCACCTGAGTTAACAACTTGCAAATCTTATTTTCCTTTTTCTTTGTTCTGCTTTTTTTCCCCAACCTCCCCCGACCCCAGTACGGAGTTGCATATTTTAGTTGTGGGTTCTTCTAGTTGTGGCATGTGGGACGTCACCTCAGTGTGGCCTGACGAGTGGTGCCATGTGCGTGCCCAGGATCCGAACCAGTGAAACCCTGGGCCACCAAAGTGGAGCACACGAACTTCACCACTGACTACAACAGAACAGGCCCCAGGACCAGATTCTTAAATGCCAGCATAGTAAGTATGGATGTTTTTTAGCAGGTACTGGGGACCCTTGAGAGCTTTGGTTTAGAAGAGTGGCATGATCAGTCCAGGGCTTGAAAGAAATAAATCCAACTTCATTTCATAAAAGGGAGGGATGGAGAATAGAAGCAGAGGGAACAGGTAGGAGACTATAACAGTAGTCCAGGTGGAGATGAAGCTGAAATGGGCCCAAAGCAAGATAATAGAGACTGTATTAGTTTCCTATTGCTGCTGTAACAAATGAGCACAAACTTAGTGGCTAAACCAACATAAATTTTGCTACAGTTCTGGAGGCCAGAAGTCTAAAATAAAGATGCTAGCTGGGCTATATTCATTCTGGAAGCTTCAGGAGAAAATCCATTTCCTTGTCTTTTCCAGCTTCAAGAGGCCATCTGCATTCCTTGGCTCATGGCCTCTTCCTCTGTATTCAAGGCATGTCATTCCAACTTCTGCTTGTTTTCTCCCATCTACTCCTTCTGCCTTTGATCTTCTTGCCTCCCTCTTATACGGATGCTTGTGATTACTTTGGGCCCACCTGGATAATCCAGGATCATCTCCCCATCTCAACACCCTTAACTTAATCACATCTGCAGAGTCTTATACTGTGTAAAGTAACATATTCACAGGTCTGGGGATTGGGATATGGATATTTTTGGGGAGAGGCACATTATTCAGCGTACTACACAGACACAAGAACATTCAAGTCTGGCTGCTGTCTTGCACTATTTCCCTCTCAAAGACATTGAGCTCCAAAGGAACGTGATTACTTTCATCCAAACCATATCTTGCTTTTTGCTTTTTTACTACTTGTAATCCTGTTCTTTTCTTTGCCTAGAATACCAGTCCTCAATATCAAATTCCAGCTCAAATCCTTCTATCTTCCAGAATCCTGCTGCTATCTACCTCCTTCCCTTCGACTCATGAATCAAAGAAGAATTCTCTCTTTCCTTTAGCCTACATCTGTATTTTATATTGCTCCTATTTTTTTAGCAAAAACCTTTTATTTTGAAATAAGTTCAGACTTGCAGCAAAATTGTAAAAATGGTACAAAGAATTCTGTTCACTGTTCACCCAGCTTCCCCAAATCATAATAACTTAAATAACCATAGCGTAATGATCAGAATCAGGAGATTAACAATGACCCAATACCATTATCTACAGACTTTATTGGGATTCCAAGAGTTGTCCCACTAATGTCCTTTATCTGGCATACTTCTTTAATTTGCTTCAAACAGAGACGGCTCTCCAGTCTTTGTTTTTTATGACCTTGACACTTTTGAAGAGTCAGGACAGTCATTTTGTAGAAAGTTTCTTTTTCTGGGTTTGTCTGCCGTTTTCTCATGATTTGATTCAAGTTACATTTTATGGAAGACGTATCACAAAGGAGATATGCCCTTCTCAGTGCATGATAGCAAGAGGTAAATGACGTCAGTGTGTCTCATGACTTGGGATGTTTAGTCACTAGTTTAAAATGGTGTCTGCTAGATCTCCTATTGCTCATAACACATTTAGCCTCGGATTCTGTATATTTTTATCATAACACTTTAGGACTGGAAGTATCAAAGAAATGATTTGTCAATAATACTAAAAGTAACATAATATCAGGTAACATACATACACTAAGGAGTTATTATGTGGTTCACTTACTCCTCAATATACCTCTACAGACACTTTATCAACTCCATCTTACCTTTTTGGAGAGGACATTCCTGGTTGACAATTGACTACCTTGAGATGAGGGAATACAACTTGCTCTTTTTTTATGGCACATAGTGCCTTAGCACCATGCTTTACACAAAGTAAGGGGCAGCAAATGTTTGTTAAATTGACTTAAACTGAAATTAAAAGGTAAACAGAGTGTTCAGATTATGTAACTAATTATAAATGTCAACGAAGGAGAAGCAATCATGGGTAATTATGAAGTACTGAATTTGGGGAAGGCAAATACATGATGACTTATTTTCAAAGGGGCAAAGCTAAGAAAGAAGGTGAAATTTTTGTTGTCAAGAGTGGATTAAGAGTGAAGACTTGGGCAGCACTCACATTTAGGGAGTATTTGGCAGAAGAAAAATCAGTAAAGGAGAAAAGGAGTGAAGCGTAAACAAGATAGAAGCAGCAAGATAGTATTGGGTTATAGTCAGCCAATATTCAAACCTGGGATGAAGAAAATTAACTGAGGATATGCATGGGGCTGTGATTAAATTCCAAAAGATATTTTGAGAAAACCATAAGAAACACATTTAAAGAAGTTTTTATAGGTTTTTTAAAAATTTAACCAACACACAATTATCCATAGTAATGGAAGAGAAAAATGTCAAGATAAGTCAGAAGAATGGTAACTCTGAACACGTAGGATTGGCTATAAAGCACATTGTATATGATTTCTGAGGCAGCACATTTCCCTTTCAATGTTTGCTAAATTTATATGAAGAATAGCTTTTATTTCTTAATACAAAACCTGAGTGGTGGAAGGGAAAGAGAACCGGCATTTGAAAAGTGGTCACGTGTTTATACTCGCAGGCTTATTATAAATATAAGTCTGCTTCACATTGTTCTAAATGTAAACCCTTTCTGGCTTTATCTATCTTCAAATTTTACAATGAGGGAGATCAGATCATTGGACCAGAACGCAGCTCTTGTTTCTATTCTTAGCATCACCAGTACCTACCTGTATAGTGTAGCAGGGAAATTCATTCAGGCCCTTTGTACCTCAGTTTTCTCATCTAAAAATGAAGAGGTTGATTAGATGATCTTAGTTATGGCCTCTGGAGCTAACACTCTGTAGATGATTCTATTGTTTTGGGGATGCTAGCTAGCTGGTTTGCATTTCATACAGATTTTATTTACTAAATAATTTGACATGTATAAGTGCTTCCTTAAAAGCAGATTTTCCAGAGAAAAATATAAGTGGGGAGATTCATTGCCAGAGCTACATAACATGGTAATTGTGGAATTAACAGTTACAGGAATAGCTTTTTATGTAAAACTAGTTTGGCATTTTCCATTTGTTTGGGGTTTCTGAGTAGTATTGAGGATGGCCCTTGCCAATTAGTTCTTGCTCCCTGACTCCCTGGATGAGGTTTTTCTGTGTGAGAGTTTGGTCTTGAAAGCCCAAGGCAGCCAGGAAGAAGGATATTGAAGCTGGAGTGCCCAGTGATCCTTCAAAGAGGACAGATGGAGACGGGTCGCTAAGGACGGGAGGACCCTGACAAAGGGATGAAATTAATTTGGACGGGACCCCTGAGGTTGGACAGAGTTAAATAGTCTAACAGTGGGAGGCTCATTTTGCAGCCAGAAGCAGTTTTCTTCTGAAAGAAGAGTCCTTTACTCTGGGAAACATTCTTTTGCCTTCCATGGCAATCTCTGTTTGGAGTCTTTATTCTTGCCTTTCCCCTCCTCAACTTTGTCTTTCTCCACCCCTGCCTTCTCTCTCTCCCTCCCTCTCTTCTTAGCATATCCTTTCATGATTAGATTAATTTGTTTACCCAGACAAGGGGAAGAATGAGAGTTTGCATATTGGTAAGAACAGGCTTCCTTTCCCAGTGCTGGAAACATTGAACTCTCCTCTCTGCCTTCATGGAGGCTTCAAGCAAAAAAAAAAAGAAATGACACCTCATCCTAAAACAAAAGATGTTCTGAGATCTTTTAAAATCCTGCTGAAGTAAAGAGAGGGCAGAGAGTGTGTGTGTGTGTGTGTGTGTGTGTGTGTGTGGGTAGACCCACAGCCTTGAAGGATTGTCAAGGCCAGTCTCTGAAGTGGAGACAGACAGTAAGGCTCTGATGAGCTCTGATGAGGACTGATGCCAAGGTGGGTGAGAGGAAGCACACAGGAGCCCTGCTGCAGACAAGAGGTATCTTGAAGTAGGGGGGATAGCCTGAATGGAATATGTTTTTCAAATAGTACAATTTTGATAATGCCAAGTTCATGTTCCCAGGAAGTGGAAGTCTGGAGTGGAAGACTGAAAACCTCAATTCTCACCTAAGATATGTTGCCTGTTGGTGTGTAGTCTGAGCAAGTTATTTACTCTTTCTCAGTCTTCGTTTCTTAAAATAAAATGGGAATACTCACGTTTCTCATGTTTTTTTTTCAAGAGGCACAAAAGAGATCATCTTTGTGCTAGTGCTTAGAGAGCTGTGTGATATTAGATACAACTTTGAGCATTAAGTTGCCCATCTGTAAAATGAGAATAATGATTCTTAGAGAGATTTTGTGAGAATTTAATGAGGTAAATGAGCCTGGCTAGGAAAATGCCCAATACTTGTTTATCCCCTTACTATCCATTGGGTGCTGGTTATCTTGAATATTTGGGAAACAACGACAACTTAGTTTGTAGTACTGACTTTTGATACTAGCCTAAAAACATAACTAAGGATTTGAACTTGCTGAAAATCACATAATGCATTCCAAAGTAAAATGGAAAAAGCATTTTGTATGATTTTCTGTTTTTTAAATTATCAATTGGCCATTGATATAGCTAACTCAGAGTTGACTCTGTATGCACAGATGACTAGCAGAAAAACGAATACAATTATATGATCTTATCAGCTTACATTATAGTCAACTTGTGCCATGTGGGCATCGACCAACTAGAGTGGACACCCATCATAGTGCTGGAGCAGAGGCTTGGAGACCCCTTACTGTGATATGCCAGATATTAACTTTGAATTGCTGGACCCTAGGGAGTTTTGGGGGTCTGGAACAGGGTCTGAGGGAAACAGGAAGTCCTTGAAGGGGCCTGGGGCAGTGACTCTTTACTAATTGGTATGAAAGTACTTTGATACTTTAAAAAGTAGTAGAGAGCTGAACTGTGCAGACAGACTGAGTATCCCTGCCAAACTAGAACTCCACAATCCTCTCCTGCGAACAAACAAATAAAAATGTGCTCACACCACAACTTTTTCGCCAAATACCAACTCTCAACCCATTGCAAAATTTTTTTAAAATAATTTTTATTTTATTTATTGTGTAGAAGAGCTTTTGAATATTTTTAATTGAGGTAACATTGCTTTATGACATTATATTATATAAATTTCAGATGTACATCATTATATTTTGATTTCTGTGTAGACTATATTGTGTTCACCACCAAAAGTCTAGTTGCTATCTGTCATGATACACGTGTGCCCCTCTCGCCCTCCTTGCCCCACCTAACTTCCCCCCTGGTAACTACCAATCTGTTATCCATATCTATGTGTTTGTTTGTTGTTGTTGCTGTTTAATCTTCCACATGTGAGTGAAATCATACAGTATTTGTCTTTCTCCATCTGACTTATTTCATTTAGCATAATACCCTCAAGGTCCATCCATGTTGTTGTAAATGGCAAGATTTCATCTTTTTTAATGGCTGAGTAGTACTCCATTATGTGTGTGTGTGTGTATATATATATATATATATATATATACACACACATATATATATATGGTATGTGGTATATATATGTGGTGTATATATATATATATACCACATTTCCTTTATCCATTCATCTGTTGAGGGGCCCTTAGTTGTTTCCAAGTCTAGGCTATTGTGAATAATGCTGCAATGAAGACAAGGGTGCATATATCTTTTTGAATTAGTGTTTTTGTGTTCTTTGGATAAATACCCAGAAGTGGAATAGCTGGATCATATGCTTGTTCTATTTTTAATTTTTTGAAAAGTGTCCATACTGCTTTCCATAGTGGCTGCACCAATTTACATTCCCATCACCAGGGTATGAGGTTTCCCTTTTCTCCACATCCTCTCCAACACTTATTTCTTGTCTTTTAATAATAGCAATTTGGATGGATGTGAGGTGATAGCTCATTGTGGTTTTGATTTGCATTTTCCTAATAATTAGTGATGTTGAACATCTTTTCAAGTGCCTATTGATCATCTGTGCATCTTCTTTGGAAAAATGTCTGTTCATATCCTCTGCCCACTTTTAATCAGGTTGTTTGTGTTTTTGTTGTTGAGTTGTATGCATTCTTTACACATTTTTTATATTACCCCCTTATCGTATATATGATTTGCAAATATCTTCTCCCTATTGGTAGGTTGTCTTTTCATTTTGTTGATAGTTTCCTTTGTCCTGAAGAAGCTTTTTACTTTGATGCAGTCCCATTTGTTTATTTTTTCTTTTGTTTCCCTTGCCTGAGATGTGATATTCGAAAAGATACTGCTAAGACCGATGTCAGAGTGAACTGCCTATATTTTCTTCTAAGAGTCTTATGGTTTCAGGTCTTACATTTAAGTCTTTAATCCATCTTCAGTGAATTTTTGTGTATGGTGTAGGATAATGATCTACTTTCGTTCTTTTGCATCTGACTGTCTAGTCTTCCTAGCACCACTTATTAAAGAGACTTTCCTTTCTCCATTGTATGTTCTTGGCTGTTTTGTTGAAAATTAGCTATCTAAAGATGTGTTGGTTCTTTGTGGGCTCTCAGTTCTGTTCCGTTGATCTGTGTGTCTGTTTTTGTGCCAGTACCATGCTGTTTTGATTACTATAGCTTTGTAGTATATGTTGGATTCAGGGATTGTAATACCTCCAGCTTTGTTCTTTCTTATAATTGCTTTGGCTGTTCAGGGTCTTTTATTGTTCCATATCAATTCTAAGATTCTCTATTCTATTTCTGTGAAAAATGTTATCATGACTTTGTTAGGGATTGCATTAAATCTGTAGATTGTTTTAGGTAGAGTGGACATTTTTACTGTGTTAATTCTTCCAATCCATGAGCATGGAATATCTTTCCATTTCTTTGTGTCCTGTTCAATTTCTTTCAACAATGTTTTATAGTTTGTGATGTATGGGTCTTTCACCTCCTTGGTTAAATTTATTACTAGGTGTTTTATTCTTTTTTTATGATTTTAAATGGAATTGTATTCTTGATTTCTGTTTCTGCTGGTTCATTGTTAGTGTATAGAAACATAACTGACTTTTGGTTGTTGATTTTGTACCCTGCAAATTTACAGTATTTGTTTATTATTTCTAATAGTTTTTTGGTGGATTCTTTAGGATTTTCTATGGTATAAAATCATGTCTCCTGCAAATAGTGACAGTTTTACTTTTTCTTTTCCAATTTTGATATGTTTTGTTTCTTTTACTTGCCTAATTGTTCTGGCTAGGACTTCCAATACTGTGTTGAGTAAGAGTGGTGAAAGTGTCCTTCATTGTCTTGTTCCTGTTCTTAGAAGGATAGCTTTCAGTTTTTCACTGAGTATGATGTTGGCTATATGTTTGTCATATATGGCCTTTATTAGGTTGAGGTTCCTAACCCATTTTATTCAGAGTTTTTGTCATGAATGTGTGCTGAATCTTGTTGCATGCTTTCTCTGCATCTATTGAGATAATCATGTAATTTTTATCGTTCATTTTATTAATATGGTGTATAACATTGACTTGTGAATGGTGAACCATCTTTACATCTCTGGAATAAATCCCACCTGATCATGGTACATAATCTTTTTGATACAGTGTTCTATTCAATTTGCTAATATTTGTTGAGGATTTTTGCATCTACGTTCCTCAGTGATACTGGCCTGTAATTTTCTTTTTTTTGTGTTGTTCTTTTCTGGTTTTGGGTCAGGGTAATATTGGCCTCATAAAATGAGTTCGAAGCCTTCTCTTCTTCAATTTTTTGGAAGGGTTTGAGAAGGATAGGTATTAAATCTTCTTTGAATGTTTGGTAGAATTCACCAGGGAAGCCATCTAGTCCTGGACTTTTGTTTTTTGGGAGATTTTTGATTACTGTTTCTATCTCCTTACCAGTAACTGGTCTATTCAGATTCTCTCTTGCATCTTGATTCAGTTTTAGAAGGTTGTATAATTCTAAGAATTTATCCATTTCTTCTGGGTTATCCAATTTGTTGATGTATAGCTTTTTGTAGTATTCTCACAATCCTTTGTATTTCTGTGGCATCCCTTGCAATTTCTCTTCTTTCATTTCTGATTTTATTTGTTTAAGCCTTCTCTCTTTTTTTCTTGCTGAGTCTAGCTAAAGGTTTGTCAATTTTTTTTTGTCTTTTCAAAGAACCAGCTCTTACTTTCATTGATCTTTTCTATTGTCTTTTTAGCCTCTATTTAATTTATTTCCACTCTGGTTTTTATTATTTCCTTCCTACTGATTTTGGGCTTCTTTTATTCTTTTTCTAGTCCTGTTAGGGGTAATATTACATTGTTTGTTTAAGATTTTTCTTTTATTTAAGGGAGGACTTTATTGCTATAAACTTCCCTCTTAGTACTGCTTCTGCAGTATCCCGTAGATATTGGTATGTTGTATTTTCATTTTCATTTGTCTCCAGGTTTGATTTCTTTGTTGACCCAATAGTTGTTCAGTAGCATATTGTTTAATCTCCATGTATTTATGAATTTTCCAGTTTTCTTCTTGTAGTTGATTTATAGTTTCATACAGCTGTGTAGAAAAGATGCTTGATATGATTTCAATCTACTTAAATTTAGTGAGACTTCTTTTGTGGCCTAATATGTGATCTATCCTAGAGAATGTTCCATGTGCATTCAAAAAGAGTGTGTATTCTGCTGTTTTTGGATGGAATGTTCTGTATATATCTATTAAGTCCACCTGCTCTAGTGTGTCATTTAAGGCCAATGTTTCCTTATTGATCTTCTGTCGGGATGAAGTATATGTTTTTAAGAGACTGCCAAATCTTTTTCCAAAGCCATTGCACAATTTTATAGTTCTAGCAGCAGTGTATGAGAGTCCTTGTTTCTCTACATTCTTTGCTACCTTTTGTATTGTCAATTTTTTAAATTTTAACCATTCTGATGGGTGTGTAAAGATATATTATTGTTCTTTTAATTTGCATTTTCTTGATGAATAGTGATCCTGAGCACTTTTCCGTATGCTTATTGGCCATTTATATTCTTGCTTTGAGAAGTATCTATGCAAATAATTTTCTTATTTTTAATTGAGTTATCTTTTTATTATTGATTTGTAGGAGTTATTTATATATCCTGATAGTACTTGTTTTTCATATATAGGTTTTAGGAGTATATTTCCCTGGTATGTGTCTTACCTATTATTTTTATTAATATGTCTTTGATGAGCAGAAAGTTTTATTTTGATGAAGTCAAATTTATAAATATTTCTTGATTAGCGCTTTTTGTGTCCTGTCCAAGAAATTTATCCTACCCTAAAGCTGTGAAGATATTCTCTTGTGTTTCTTTTAGAAGCTTCATGGTTTATATTTTAGATCTATGACCCAACTTAAGTTAAATTTCGTATACACTGTGTGATAAGGGTGTTTCTTTTTCTCCAACTAGATATGCAGTTGTTCCAGCACCATTAATTGAAAAGAATTTCCTTCAGTCATTGGATTATTTTAATGTATCTGTTGAAAATGAATTGATTGTATAAGTGTTTGTCTCTTTCTACACTCATATATATATATATATATGTAAGTATTTTTAAAGATTGGCACCTGAGCTAACATCTGTTGCCAATCTTTTTTCCCCCGCTTTTTCTCCCCAAATACCCCCAGTACATAGTTGTGTATTTTAGTTGTGGGTCCTTCTAGTTCTGGCATGTGGGACACCACCTCAGTGTGGTCTGATAAGTGGTGCCATGTCCACACCCAGGATCCTAACCAGTGAAACCCCAGGCCACCGAAGTGGAGTGTGCAAACTTAACCACTCAGCCATCAAGCCAGCCCCTCTTTAATATATTTTGTTGATGTAATTTTCTAACCCTATTTCTATACCACACTATCCTGATTAATGTAGCTTTATAGCAAGCCCTGAAATCAGGTAATATAAGTCCAACAACTTTATTCTTTTTTTCAAAGTTGTGTTTGCTATTATATATCTTTTACATTTTCATGCAAATTTTTAAATTAGCTTGTCAATTTCTAGGTTAAAAAAGCTTGCGTAGACTTTTGATTGGGCTTGTGTTGATGTTATAGATCAATTTAGGGAGAACCAACATCTTAACAATATGGAGTCTTCTGATCCATGAATGTGGTATATCTCTTTATTCAGATATTTATTTTCTGTCATTAAAGTTATTTTCAGTCTAGAGGTTTTGAGAAACTTTCATTATTTCATTACATTTTTAATGATGTGATTTTAATTAATTATTCAAAAGTAGGTATTGAGTATCTATGTTTCAGGCACTGTTTCAGGTTCTTCAGCCACAAGATCAGTGAATCTCCTGCCTTCATTTTAGAAGGGAAGACAGAAAACAAACAAGTAAACAAATAAGCAATATAGCTTTATATAGTAATAAAGTCTATGAAGGAAATGATGCTCTGTAGCAAGAGAGAGTAATGAATGAGTGGACTTTTCATGGGATAGTCAGGGAGCATCTCTCTGAGAAAGTAACAATTGAACAGAGGCTGCACGATGTTAAGGAGCAAATCATAGTAAAAATTTGGAAAAAGAGCTTTCTAGGCAGAAGGTCTAGAGGCAGAAATTAGCTTGGTGTATTTCAGCAATAGCAAGAAGAGTTGTTGATAATTTTGCAATGTGATTTTGAGGTATTTTCATCTGATAGCTTCTATCTGATAGCTTCTATTCTAAAGGAATAAGAATTGAGATAATCAATTGAGACTGCATGAGGTAGATGTTGGAGAAAGGAGAAATTGAAAATAGTTCTTTTGAAAGTGACAGAGCAATAACCTAAGGGAAATGTACCGCACCTGGGACTACAATTTGAGATCTGGATCACGAATTGAGAAGTACTTTAGTAATGATTGTGTATTTTGCTGCTGCCAGATTCATCTGTTAGAGAGCAGACGTAGAGCTAGTATAAAATTGGGTTTAACTAACACTGAATTTTTCGGTTTTCATTTTCCTTCCGAGAATGCCAGAGAAAGAGATGAGGGGAAGAGAGTTAAGAGTACAGGCAATGGAGTGATTACAATGATGTTTTGTGGAATCCAAGATGAGAGAAATGAGAATATAAAGGGAATAAGAGAATTTTAAAAACTGTGCCAATTGAGTCAAGATAAAACATCTTTGGAGTTGCAACACTAAAATGCATGATCCAGAAAGATAGAAGTTGGTATAGAGTAAACTGTTAGAATGAAGATTTTAGAAGTGATGCAGTGAGTAATTGTTAATGAAAATTTCTAAAATGTAACCTTGGGATTGTATTGCTAAGGTGGAGAGGAAAAACTAAATTGTTGGAAATAAAGAAGTCAATGAATGAGAGGCCAGGGTATTGAATGGATATAAGTATGAATATTGAACTTTTAAGAATGATGACAGAAGTAATGGTGGAGTGGATAACAAATGAGAGAGAGAGATCCAAATGTTGGTGGTGACTATAGCATCACCATCTACGCCACTGCAGAATGGTATTCTAGGGTACAGTCTGATGGACTATGCTTCAAAGATCCGGGTTTTTATGGAAGGAGGGAGGAAAAAGAAATCTTCTAGAAGCAGCAATGAGGATCAGAGACAGCAGTTCTATCTGTCAGCCTGTGGTGCCACATGGGAGGAAAAAGTATCTGCTTAGGGCTATAGACGAGGCAGCATATTCAGGGAATAGCTAAATTTATGTTGGATTAAAAATTTGAAAATAATATCTAGAGGAGATATAGAAGTTCTAGAGAAGAGTTAGAAGAGTGAGTTTCAGGGAGTACAGTGCAGAAGTTTGGGAGGTCAAACAAGATTTTGGATTAGGGAATGGACAGAGCTATATGAAGGGAAAATTGTGAGTGATGAAAGATGATCTGAGAATTTTGGACTTCTACCAGTGGCTGAAGTAGAAAGTTCCAAGGCATGGTGAGTTTCCTTCACATTCTCTCTTAGGGGAAGTGTGCGATCAGTTTTAATCATAGCATCCTTCTCGGGTTTAGTGTTTTATGCCATTTGTCCTGGTGAGACAGGTAGTGTTGAAGTTGGAAGAGTCAGTTTGACCAGGAACACTCGGAGCTCTGTAGGCCTCTCTTATGTTTATGAGCTGCAGGATGAATGAGGCAAAATCTCATGGACCCCACACACTTGTTGGTGGGCATAAAAAAGAAATAAAATTATGTTTGTATTGTTAGATTCAAAAGCGATCTGTTACTTCAAAAAGGAGAGGCTTGAGCATGCATGGACTTGAAACAACTTGAGACACATTATTGGCCATTGTTCGGAGTGTTTGTCTTCCTTTTTAATTATTCCAAGAAATTAAATACCACTGGAAATGGCATCAAAGGTCAGAGCAGTAATCCTATAAATTTGAACACTGACACTAAACATTATATATATATGTATATACATATATATTCCTTATAACATATGTAAACATATTTACATATAAGTAATGTATTATATTCTTGATATATTATCCATATATCATTAGATTACATCATGTCTTCACATAGGCCAAGACTATTGTATGCAATATAATTTTTCATACTCGTAAAAAATGATAGTTGCCCACGAAGACTTTAAAAAACATATTCTTTGTGCTTATATTTATTCAAAGGTTTAGAATCTGTTTCTTCAAATGTTTAAGAGTAGCTTTAACCCAAGAAACACCTCTTTAATCCACATTTACTCTTTAGTTTTCCTTTGCCACCTTGAGAGATACAATAATAAAAAGAGGGAAAAAATATGTTGAAGACAGAAGAAAATCTCTATCTATTCTTAATGTTCTGTTCTGGGTTGGAAAATGAAATTTCTTACACTTGGGTAAATAAAAAAGTTTTTGTATATGATCATATCCTAGAAAGCAGTTATCTCCCTATTTTCTTCTCTCCTGCTTCCTCCCTTAATGGGAGAGTTCTTCTGTTCTTATAGCTTAGACCATTATCTTTCCACAGCTTCCCTGCAAATTTAATTCTCCACTCAAAACTCCTTTCTGTCTGCTCAGCAGCTCCTCTCTACCTGACACTTGATGTTTCTTCTCTTTGCAAGTTAAACATGGAAAAGACAAAAATAGAAGAGCTCATTAATTGATGTAAGAAAAACATGTCAGGGTGAGAGAATGAAGTTCTAAGGGCAAACACAGTGTTGATTTTTAGCCAGTTGACCCAAGATCATCCCTTCATTAAATAGCTGTAATGTAGGCCACAGTTTGGATCATGCAAATATTATAAAATACTTATTTGACTTATAAATTTATTATTAATGAGTGATAATATTAGTAATAAACTTGAACTAGACTCAGCTGCTTCATTTGGCAATATAATGCTAATAAACTCTAACTTAAGATAAATAGGAAAAAAGCAATAGAAACAACTTGCCAAAGGGCCCATTTCCCACTTGATAGGACAGTTTTCTTAATTTGTTTTCTATTCCTTTACTTGTTTTCTCATTTACTGCAACAGTGCCTGGTTCTGGAAGTAAACAAGGTTATGTGTAAAATTGTAATTTAATTTTTCCTCAGCTTCATTCACCAAAGAGTTGAGCTCAGAAACAAAGCAAATGTTTAGTCGTATAGCAAATGGGAATCTTCTTAATTTATTCAGAAGAATGCAATACACCTGACATGGAAAATCTGAAATGGGAGAAAGAAGCGTAGCCTTAGTAAAGTGTGTCTCAGGTGAGTAAATGTAATAGAGAATATATTTTATTTTTGGTGGTGTCTGGATTAATTTTTTGAGATATTAATTTGTTATTTTTTCTCTGTATTTTTTTTTCTTCTCCTGCTCAGTTCCTAGAAGGTAGCAAAGACTTTGTATTCCCTTGCCTCTGGGAGGAATTGTATAATAAGGTTGAAGAAGAAATTGCTTATAGACTGCAAAGCACGACAGAGTGATAAAAGAATGACATGGAGCTAGCTTGAACAATGGGAATCTCAGGAATAACCATAGTACCTGTGAGAATGGAGGAGACTCCCCAATGCTTTTGTTCTTCATAAGACTCCAGGACCTTTGCAGGGCACTGGGTGGGGGAATCTTCCAAATAGTTGAGTTTAAATTTCCCATCAGTTTGGCAGGATGGAACTTGTGAATGGAATTAATTTTATTCATTTTTTTTGTTTCTTGTTGTTTTTGCTATAATTATTATCATTTATTTTTTACTTTAGGGCAACAAATAGGACTAATCATAGTCTTTGGTTCATGGCATACTGCCATCATTGCTTATTCATGGCCTGCATTTATTTTATTTATATAACTTTATGTATTTATTATCAATATGATGAAATTATATAAATCCATTGCTCAATGCAATAACTGGAATTTAATATACATCTATGTGCTCTCCCTCATTCCATTTTCTTTGTCTGCCTTTGGAGTAGCCATTATTTTGATTTTTATGTTTATCTTTACCCTGTCTTAAAGAAAAATTATAATATGCATACATTGTCCTAAAATATTTTGTTTAGTTTTGCTTCTTTTTCGGTTTTATAAAAAGAGTATGAGAATGTGTGCATCTTCTGGGACTTGCTTCTTCCTCTCATCATTATCATAATAAGATTCATCCATGTGTTACGTGTAATTTGGTTCATTAGTTTTCATTGATATTGAATATTTCTGCGGTTATGCTACAGTTTATTCATACTTCTGTCAATGGGCATCTGGATTATTTCCAGACTTTTGCTATCATTGACAGGGCTGCTCTGTGTTTTCTGGTACACATTAGCTAAACTTCTCTTGGGTAAACACCTTGGAGTGGAATTGCTGGTTTATTGTGTGTGCAAATATTCAACTGTATAGATAATGCTAAATTGTTTTCCAAAGTGATTATTCCAAGTTACATTCCATTAGCAATGTGTGAGAGCCCATTGATCTACAATCTCTGTAATACTTGGTATTGTCAATGTTTTGGTTTTGCCCATTGAATGAATGTAAAATAACTTTCTTGCTCCTTTTTCACGTTTCCCTGATTACTGGTTGCTTTAAGCTTCACATTTTATGCTTTTTGTTGTTACATGTTTTCTATTCCATGAAATGCCTATTCAGGTGTTTTGTCCATTTTTCATTTCTTTTTGTATCTTTGTTATTAACTTATAAGAGTTCTTCACTTATAAATAATATCAAAATTTCAATCTGTTTTTTCTTTTAAGTGTGTTTGTGATGGTTTAAGAAATCATTTTCTACCGTAAGGTTAGAAAGACATCCATCTATATTTTTCTCTTAAAATTTTAAACTTTATCTCAACAGCACATCACCACTTCTAGTCAACATTGGATAGGAGTTTCTAACCAGTTCTGTAGACAAAGGAATGAATTAAAAGTAGTAAGAATAGGAAAGGAGAAAAAAAAACACCTGTCATTTTCAGCTGATATAATTGTCTACTTGAAATTCCCCAAAACTGAGTAAACAAATTATAATAGTAGGGGGGTTGAGCAAGGTAGCCAAACATAAGATCAATACACAAAAGTTGATTACACTTCTGTAAACCAGAAACAAATAATTAGAATAATGATAACCCTGAATGACGCCATTTACAATAACAGTTAAAAATATAAAGTACAATATTTAGGAATAAAACTAACAATAGATGTGCAAAACTTGTATATAGAAAACTATAAAACTTTTTTGAAGGATGTTAAAAAAGACTAATAAGTAGAGAAGTCTCCTATGTTCATCATGGGAAGATGTCATAAAGACTTTAATTCTTCCTACACAGATCTATAGATTTAACGTAACTCCAGTCAAAATCCCAAAGGATTCTTTGTGTAACTCAATAAAGGTCCAAAAATAGTCAAAATACCTCTTTAAAAAATAACATGAAAAACGAGTTGTTCTTCCAGATATATGGGCTTATAGGCCTATATTAATTAAGATGTGTTACTCACACAGGAGAGATAAATTGGTGCATGAAGTAGAATATAGAGTTCAACAAAACACCCATGCACATAAAGAACTTTGATGTTAGATAGAGGCGGCATGGAAAATCACTTGGGAAAGGAGTTACTACTCAATAGTTACAGCTGGGAAAGTGGTTATCTACATGGAAAAAGCATGAAAATTAATCTCTACCACACATTATACATGAAACAACTTTCTGTGGATTAAGAATTTAAATGGCAGAGGCAAAGATTTAAAACTTTCAGTAGAGTTCATTTGTTTTAAAGAAAGTAAAATAATGTAACATTTCTACATACCCAAATTTGCAGTAACATTTTGTACCTGGTTTACTTTATTGAGTTTGTATTTACTACAGGACACAGATTCTAGAGAATCCCGTGAATAAAAAATTCTTAAGTTTCTATTTCCTTCTACAAAATGATGTCCACTTTTCTCCATTGCTCTCCCCTTTCCAATCCTTCTAATTACCAGAGGAGAAAATACTAAATTAGGTATTAATGTCATAACTCTTGCAAATTCGTTTTTAAATAAGGAGGGGTATATCTAGGGGAGATGAAGGGATGTTGGAACAGCACTGAAAAAAGCAAGAGGCTTCAAATATTAAAAACTTTGAATTCTGAATATATGTGTTAACAGTTCTTATGTTTGGCAGATACTGTTAGTTCACTTCTTCAACACCCATTTTGATTTATTTTCACTTGCCTACCTCCATTTTGGAAGCTCTAAAGCTGAATGCTTATTTTTTCAGACCCCATTTTAACTAGAGATGGCCACTTGACTCAATTCTGGCCAATGAGACATAAGATGTTGAAGTCTGTTGGTGCTGTCTCTTCTGTTTCCTCCTTTCTGCTGCCTGGAAAATAGAAGCCATCCCAGAACTGTAGCAGCCACTACTACAGATGACAGAGCAGCAAAGCAAGGGTTTTGCTTTCTTGATGGCATCCTTGAGCCCCTGTACAAGCCGTAGACCTACCTACCTACAACCTTTTGTTACATAAGTGAAGTAAACCTGTTTCTATTAAGTCACCATTCATTGGGCTTTCTAATACTGACTACTGAATGCAATCCCATCAACACTCTACAAATAATCCTTACTAATTCATACGTGTGTACTGGAATCTGGTGATTATCATTCATTCATGCGAATGTATCAACTTCAGTATACTTTCCCCAGAATTTAACAATTCTGGTAGACGAAGGTTAAATAGTAAAGACAAAGAGGAATTCAATCATGTAATTAACACATTTAATCTGATAGGTATAAATAGGTCTTCATATTCCACAAGAAGAGAATAAATAGTTTTATACCTTCTGGAACTTTTACAAAAACTGATCAC